ACATTTTGTTTACCTATTCATCTATCAATGAATACAGGTTTCCTTCTGCCTTTGGCTATTAAGAATTATGCCTCTATGAACATATGAACACGGATGTACAATTCTCCCTGCCTTTAAGTGGCTTGTGGTCTAATATGGGGGGGCAACATGTTGATTCACCCAGAAGTTACCCTGGATGAGCCTCCATTTCTTCATCTGTGAAATGGGGATAATGTTACCCATTATAGGAATTAAATGAGATGATGCATGATTTAGGCCAGTGCCAACATATTGTAAACACTTGATAAATATTAGTTCTTGCTGCAGCTGCTGTCATGTCAGGCAGGAAATACCTGCAGAAGAGGGGGCTGGAGATCAGGTGGTCAGCTTGAGCTGTCTCACAAACAGGTGAACCTACTGTCACAAACATCCTGCCAAGTAGGCCTACAGATCGCCACTGGATGAGGAAACAGACTCAGAGAGGTCCATCAGCTGTGGATGGTAGAGGTGGGCGTGGGACGTGGCTCTGTGGGCTTTCTTACTCAAATCTAGAGAGCAGGGATGAAGGGGAGTCCCAGGGGAAGGCAGGCCCAGTGCACAAAAGCTCCCTCAAATGTCTGCAGAGTGAGCCTGGGAAAAGTCCAAATGACCAAGTCGCTTGTCCCAAATGACCTTAGTGTTAGAGGGAAGAGCGGGGAAGGCAGAAGGGAGACTAGGTGGTGATGTGGAGGCAGAGGGCACACCCGAGCAAAATCCCAGAGGTGGGAGATGTAGTGTCTGCAAAAGACATGGGACAAGGCCAGTCTGTGGGAGCAAAGGGTGTGTGTGTGGGAGGGTGGGGTCAGGTCACTGAGGGCATGGCGAGGTGGCCCAGCCCAGTCTGGCTCCAGAGCCAAGAGGACTTGGATGAACTGCCCAAAGTGGTGTTTCAGGGAGGTTAGTCAGAGAGGTCGGACAGGGACTCTTGCCTCATGCCATGTCCTTACCTTCAAACCATCGGCAATATACAGACATTCTATGTGTGTTTCCCCAACATCATGTGCATAGTTCATAAAGTCAGCGAGTTCCATAAGGCCCCTTCTCCAGCCCTGTTCCCCTCCACCCCCAAATCTTATGCCCAGAGGCAGCCACTGACCAGTATTTTTCCCAGTATTTAACTTCATGTTTCTAAGTAAGATGTTTAAACATGTCTTTCTTCCTTTTCAGTTTGAGATACGTTCTATGCACCTGCTATGATGGAAGAGAAGGATCTAGCTATCCCCTGCAAAATCATTTCACCTCACCCCAACTTCCCATCTAGTTACAACATAATTTTTGGTTAGATTTAGTATTTATTTATAGTGTTGTGACCATGTAAATCATAGCTGAGCCACATTACACTACGATTAAATTGCTGCTTTTGTACAACTTATTCTTTTTGCTGAAATTAAGGTCACGGTTTTTAATGTGCTTTATCTTCTAAGTACAGTCATCCATCTCCTCTCTGTGTAAGTCTCCTCTCAGAAGCTTCAAGCACACTAGATAATCAATCCATCTGTCTAGTTTCCTTCCTTCTGGGGTCACCAATGCTCCCACTCTAACATGGGACACTTGTTCTCTGCCTGCTGCAGAGACACGGCTGTGCCCAGCTGAGTTTCACTGGAGCCCCTGATGCCAGACAAGTGAATAGGGTTAGATGCACCTTGGCCCAATCATCATTCATCTATAGATTTTATTTATAAAATGCCTACTGTGTGTTTTCTAGATTCCAAAGAGGTCCAATATCAGAGGCTGGTGACACAGAGATTAATCAGATGTGGTCCCTATTTTCACAGCCCAGTCGGGTAGACACAAGTAAATTGCTGGGCCAGAAAAGAGCTCTGGGAGTTATGGGCAGGTGGGGCAGGGGCGGAGAGGAGAAGTTCTTAACTCAGCCTTTGGAAGGGCCTGTATGGAAGTCTTCCTGGAGGAGGTGAGGCTGAATGAGTCTCAACTTGTCAGGAGGCGTTTTCTAAGAGTTTGGGAAAGAACATTCCAGGTAGGAGAGCATCATGTGCCCAGTCACGGAGCCGTGAGAACGCATGACTGGTTCTGGGAATTTCAAAGAAGTAATTAGTGACGATCACATGGGAGGGTTCCTGTGGTGGGGTGGGGGTGGTGGGCAGGGTTTTGTGTGCTCGTCTAAGGGACCTGAGGAAAATGGGGACCCACAGAAGGATCTTAAAGAAGGAAGACATGATGAGGTCTGCATTTTTTTAAAGACAGGGTGGCTGCAGGGTGTCAGACAGATTGGGCTAGAGACGGAGACGTTGAAGTCTGGCAAAGGATAGAGAGTCTGAACTAACACTGGCATTGGGGGTGAGGCACAGGGCCCGTGAGCCTTCTGGGGACCAAACGGACTGGGTCAAAGGAAATATGGAAGGGCTGACCGAGAATTCACAGGTATCCCAGGGAAAAGATGTTTCCATTCAACACATGTCCCCCGAAACATGAAACCGGAAGCTACTCTGGGCTGGGAAGAAATGCACTGGCTTCTTAGGGTGTTGAGGGGACAGAAGTACTGAGAGGGTAGATGCCCAGGGACTGAGGAATCAGGGCCAGGGCCTGGGGCTTTTGGACATTACAGGGCAGAGGCCAGATGAAAAAGCCATGGCATCAGAAGGGTACAGCCCAGCTGATAACAGGAGGAGCTCTGGGCTCAGGCAGCCCTTGGTTTAAATGCCAGCTCTGCCCCCTGCTTGCGGAGCCTCCACGTCCCCATCTGCAAAATGGGGACCACAGCGCTACCTACCTCATGGGGTGGTTGCTAGGATTAAATAAGACCCTGGCTGTAATGTGCTTGGTACAGTGCCTGGAACATAAGTGCTTTGTGACTCCCTATTACTAGTCTTGGGGAACAAGGACAGCTTCAAAAAGCAGGTGGGATTTGAGCTGACCTCAGACAAGGAGGAGACAGGGCTGGCTTTAGAAGCACGCAGCCTGTGCAGTCAACACCAGGCCCCACACTCAGACGAGCCCCATGCTTGATTTAATGCTCTGCCATCTTGAAGTTCTGAACAATTTTTGAACAAGGGACTCCGCATTTCCATTTTGCACTTAGCACCACAAGTGACATAGAAGTGCTATAAGCAGGGGACCATCAGGCAGAGAAGAGAGGGGTACCTTTGAAGCAAAAGGGCCCTGAGTGTGCAAAGGCATGCTGGGACTTGAGGCTCAGCATGTGCCAGAAACGGTCAGTGCCAGGCACGGTGTTTCTAGCTGGAGAGCTGTGGACAGAGCAGGGGTGGTGGAAGCTCAAAGTGGAAAACAGTGGCAGGCCTCAAAGGCAACGCTCAGGGATGGGGGTGTAATGTAATACAGTGTGCACATGGGAGCCTTCCATGCTCGGTAAACCCGGAAGTGGGAAGGTCAGTGCCAGGTCAGGGAGAGCACTGTGGAGGGGAACAGTGATGATGGCGCTATGCTCTGCACTTTAAACACGAGGATACTGAGAGACCCAGAGAGGTGATGTGAGCAGGTTGCAATGACTTCTATGGGCTCCAGGCAATTCTGGCTTCCTGGATACCTTTTTCTCCATAAATATAAATACAAATGTAAATGTAAATATACCTATACATGTGTGTATAATTATATTTTACAACTGCACTGGCATAAAGGCAAACACATTGTATTGTAAGTGAAAATATTTTCTTTCACCTAAAGTACGGTGGTCCCGAGGTGCTGTGCCTGCTGTGCGTAAAGAGTAAGTCACCCTGGATATGAGATTCCAGCTCTTCCAGCTCTTTGCATCCTGCAGCCAGGACTCCTGGGTCTCCCTGGAATGGGTGGGTGGTCTTTTTCCCCCCAAGGGGAGTGCTAGCCAGTCCCTAAGGCCATTACAGCTAGGACCAGCTATGCCTCTAAGGGCTGTCTATCCCAGTTTCCTATGGAGGGGGCTGATGGCTGTTTGTGTTTGAGCTAGATAGTGGGGCTGAGTGACAGGTGAAGGAGGGAGTTGCAAATGTCCCTGGGTTTGGGGGGAAACATCAAAGGTCTCTGCGTCTGTATATGTCTGCACCTTTCCTCCTGGTGCCACCTGCAGTGTCAACCCTGCAGACTGGGCTGCCCGCCTCCTCCACCCATTCGGAGGGTGGGGAGGCTGAGTCAGCGGCAGCTGCTGAGGATGCCGTCTGGGGAGGAGAAGCATCACTGCCTGTCTGTCTGCCTGTCTGGGGCTCCGGGGAAACCTGCCTGGGGGTCGGAGAAGTGTGCAGGCCTTTCTTTGTGTGTCAACTGCTCACATAGCCCAGGAGAATGGATGGAGTTTCAAGAAAGGAAGTCCCCTTCCTCAGGCTTTCCTCAAAGATTCCCCACTGGCCTTCTCTTTCCTTCCTCCACATACCCAGGAACGGGGCAGGGTGACCTGATTCATGAGTGTCATTCCAGTCCTCCCACTTCCCCAGCTTTGACCGCTGGATGTACCCGGGCAGGCTGGGAAGACACGGCACAGAAAATGCAGACTTGGGAAAGGAAAATAGGTCTAGCCTGGCTATCCCTCTAAGTCTCAATCTTCCCTCATCTTCAGATCACATTTCTACAAGTCCAGACCCCTTCCTACTAGGTATTTATAATGCATGGGTAGATGGATAGATGTATGGATGCATGGATAGACGGATGGATGAATGGATGGCTAATGTTCAATCTTTTTCAGTCTTAGAAGTCACTCCTACCTCTGCCCTCCAATTCCTGTGGTCAGGAGACAGAACCCAACAGTCCTCTAAAACAGGAGGGAAAATGTAACTTGTAGATTCAGAGAAAACTTCTTGAGAAAGTTCCCACCTGATCACTTCTATTTTCTTTATGAAGCCTGAGGATTTGGTGGGAAAGTAAAGGATACAGTTTGGAATCGCTATTGTATAGGAGGGAGAGCAATTCGATTGGGGATTTGCAAATATATTACAAGGTAGTGCCGTGGGCCGTATGAATTTGGGTGGTAAGGGTAATAGCTAATATTTCTGGAGCAATTATTATGAAACAGACCCCCAGCCTGGTGCTCTACTTACATGACCTCCTTTCATCTTCACATTCACCTAGGAGGCAGGCGCCTCAGTCGGAAGAGCCAGATCATGCTGCTGGGGGAAAAGAAAAAAAAAAGCATTCTAAATGGCTTACAGACACGGAAGTTTATTTCTTGCTATTTGTCCATCCATCAATGTGGCAGGCGACAAGGCCTGGCAAGAATGAGAAGCCAGAGAAGGTCTGAAAAGCTGGGAGGAAAAGGGGGGAGGGGTCCAGGGGCTGGAAATTCAGGAGAAGGTCAAAGAGCCAGTTTGGTGAGAGCTCGGGCAAGATAAGAGGGAGGGATTGGAGAATGAGACCCTGCTATTTGAGATTTCATGGGTGGAGCAGTAGCCAGCCAAGATAAGAGCCAGGTGTGGCCCTGCGCCTGGGTGGCTGGAGAGAAGGTAAAAGGCTCTGGAGCTGAGGTGGTCAAAGGCTCTGACAGATGGAGCCATGCTTCCAATCCCTGGGGACACTGGGGATCCACGGGAGGATAGAACAAGCCTCTGGTTGAGTATTTTGCAGTTTCCTGGGCTGCAAATTTTACCAGGAGATGAGGTGTGGGAATGATCTTTTTCAATATGCAAACATGGGAATATAAAATATAAGATGTCAAAGAAAGGCGTGTTCAGAATCCCACTCTCCTCTACAGTGGAAAGTGGGAGAAGCACTAGATGTAGAAGAGCCACCTGCAAGCCATCGATGACGACAGCCAGGAGGATTGGCGATGCAAACATCTAACAACCAGGGGTCTGTTAAAATTGCCATTCATTGATAATAATAACAGATGTTCATGAGTTTATTATATGCTAGGCACTATTCCAAACACTTGAGATGCATAGCCGCTCCAATTCTCTCACAACACCCTACAGAAAGGTGTTATTGGGTTGTCGGAAAAGTCGTGACGCATTTTTGCAACGAAAAACATAGAAAAAATACGTCATGACTTTTCCGACAACCCAATATTTTATTTCCCATCTTACAGGTGAGGAAAAAGAAGTATCTAGCACAGGAGGAGTTACATCACCTGGCCAAGGGCACACACTAGTGTTGTGTCAGAGTGGGATCTGAACTCAGGAGAACTGGTTTCAGAGCCCACACTGAACTGCAGCAACAGTGGATCTCCAACACTCGGGAGTATCAGAGTCACCTGGGAGTTTGTGCAAACAGAGTGTTGGGCCCCTCCCCTAGAGGTCTGAGGTGGGCTCAAGAATTTGCCTTTCTCAGAAGGTCCCAGGTGACCCTCAGGCTGGGGGTCTCAAGACCCTACCTCAGGCTGCCTCACAAGTAGTCACACGCAGCAACTGTTTAGTACCAGCAGGTGTAGCACCTCTTTCCATATGCGGCTACCAAATACCTGGCTGCAAGGGTGTGTGTGCCACAGAAAGCAGAGGATTAGGGTTTAGGTATCACTGGGAGACAAAGAAGAAATTTGATCCTGCTTCTTGGCCTTGAGGTGGGGGCGGGGGAGATATGGGTAAACAAACCGTCTCCACAGGGACAGTCAAGAGCATAGGTCCCACTAAAGGTGTGGAGACAGAGGCACACGGAGCAGCCAGGTTTTCAGTGGGGTGTACTGGGTGCAGTACAGGGGCTGTAGAGGGCAGAGTGGGGAGAGGGGCAGAGAAAGCCTTAGCAATGGGCCAGAATGAGATGCTGGTAGGAAGTAGGTAAGCAAGACAGCAGTTGTCTTTGAAGGTGGCTGTGCAGAGGTGCAGACTGGGGGCCTTCTGAAGCTGACGATGGCCCTTTCCCTTCTGGAAATATCCCAGGGGCAAGTGATGACAAATAAGTTAGGTACCTGAATAGAGGTTCCAGAGCCAAGGCTTCTCATGGAAAGCAGCGGGCCCACATCAGGTGTCAGGCTTGGCAGAGCCAACCTTTAAATCTTAAATTCAGGTGTCACTGAAATCCCCAACGCTTTGCCTCCTGAAGTAAACCGTGTACCCTTCTCATCCGCCGCCTTTACATGAGCGTGTGGGGCCATCTCAGCTCCCCAGCCGCCGTCTGTCTGTTTGCAGCTTGAGGTCCAGCTTAATTAAGAGCTCTCCTGGTCGATTAGTCTCAATCACCTCTCTAATTGGGCACCAGCTGTGTTTTCTCTTGACAAGGATTCTTTTATGGGACTTCTAAAATGCATTACATGAAAAAACATAACAGTTTCAGGGTTATATGATCATAAAACCGGGAACACTTATTTTTCTACAGAAATTAAGAGTGCATCTCTCTCTCTCTGTTCCAGAAATTTTTTTTTTTTTGAAAAGTTGGGAGGGAGGGTATGGAACAGCAAATTCTCCATTTGTTTATGTTCTGGATATGAACACTGATTGTGGTTTTAAACGAAGTTTTGCATAATCACAGGTGCTGGTGCATAAAGCCTCCTGGCAGAAAAGTGAGACTTGAGAAACTGAACCATGAATGGTTCCACTTATGAGCAGCCACCAATGATTGACAGAACGACTATTAATAGTTAATACTAGCTGAGCCCTTCGTGTGGGCTTAACCCTATCCTAGGCACTTGGCATGGGCTGTTTTGTTTAAACCTGGCAACAGTCTTATGAGGTGGGTATAAATGTTCTCTTGATTTTCACTGATCAGGAAACTGAGGACCAAAGGAGCAAAGTCATTCATGTTCAAGGTCACATGGCTCACTGTTAAGTGGAGGAAACAGAACTGAAACCCAGGTCTGTCTTCAGCCGAAATTCCTTTCTGCCTCTCTCCAACTAAACAATGCAATTAATTTGCAGGACTAAAGTGCTCTGTTTGCAATAATTACAATGTCAACCTTAACATTTGTACAGTTTTATAGTTACTACATTCCTTTACGTTTGCAGACTCATAGGTCTGACAGCCCTGTGAGACAAACAAAGCAGTTGCTCTAACCCTATTAGCACAAATGTGGGAACCTGGGTACAAAGGGGCTGGATAATTGATCCAGGCTCGTACCAAGAGTTAAGACCAGAGCCAGACCTTTCTAATTCCTACTCCAAATCCACCAATTCCCATCCCTCTCCCAATATAGTTCTTCCCCTCGAGGAAGCCAGACATATGTATATATTTTTTCCAGATGTTCATCCATCCCTTCCTTTATTCACTCAGTCATATTACATTTTCATTTCCCTATCCTGATTATTTGTATTACTTCCTGCTGTTTGTCTTCCCTCCTTAGAAGATAAGCTCCTTGAGAGCAGGCCCCGGTCCTTCTTGTTGATGCTTATATTTTCAGCCTCCAAAACAATTCCTAGAACTTAAGCATCTGTTGCTCAATTCATTCAAACAAATATTAATTCATCCACTCAGTAAATATTAATTGAACATCTACCATGTGCCAGACACAGGTAGGTCCTCAACAAGACAGGCATAGAGCTTACATTCTAATGGGGACTATACACAAGTAAATGAACAAAATAGTTGCTGATTGGGATTTGTGCAATGTGAGAATTTACAGGGTGATGTGATAGAAAGTGACAGTTACTCAGGTCTCCTCCTAAAGCTGTTCACATGCTAACAGGGCAGGCTGTACAGCCACCAGACAGTGCCCATCTCATGGGAACAGTGCGGGCTTTGCAGACTCAGAGGCAGTGCTCTTAGCTCCCAGTGCCAGGGCTTGGGCAGTGGGGGTGGGGAGGCAGGGAATGCTTTCTGAAGAGGCAGCACCTGAGTGCTTTTAAAAACAAATAGGAGTTATCTAGGAAAAGGGCGGGGAAGATTCCAGGCCTGTGCAAGGACAGGTGGCAGGAGGCCAGCTGGCTCAGAGCGAGGGGTGACGGAGCCTAGACTGTGAGGTAGGGAAAGAGGAAAGAAAAGAGGTGCAGGAGACAAGTGTGGAGCCGGTCCAAAAGTATCACGTTGTGAAGGTTAGTTTTATGTGTCAATGTGGCTAGACTGTAGTTCCCAGCTAGTCAAACACCAGTCTACAATAGGTGTTGCTGTGAAGGTATTTTGTAGATATGGTTAACATCCACGATCAGGTGACTTGAAGTAAAGATTAGCCTCAATAATCTGAGTGGGCCTCATCCAATCCCTTGATAGGTCTTAAGAACAGAACAGAGGTTTCCCTGAGGAAAAAGAAGTTCTGGCTGTGGACGGCAGTGTCACCTCTTGCTCAAGGGTTCCCAGCCTGCCAGCCGGCCCTACACTTTTCAGATTTGTTTCGCCAGACCCAACAATCACAGGAGCCAATTCCTGGAAATGAATCTCCTGATAGATGGATAGTTAGCTAAGGAGGTAAGTAGACAGATGATAGATAGATAGATAGATAGATAGGTAGATGATAGATAGATAGATAGATAGATAGATAGATAGATAGATAGATAGATAGATAGGACTCCTAATCTCCTACTGGTTCTCTTTCCTCTGGTAGAGTCCTGGGGACTGATTCACACTAGCCAGCTAAGTGGACTTCATTCTTCAGGTGATGGAAAGGAGCCCTGAAGGTTTTAAGCAAAAGAGTAGCACAACCAGGGACGGCCGGGTGGTTCACTTGGTTGGGGCGCGAGCTCTGAGCAACAGGGTTGCTGGTTTGATTCCCACATGGGCCAGTGAGCTGCACCCTCCGCAACTAGATTGGAAGCGGCAACTGGACTTGGAGCTGAGCTGCACCCTCTACAACTGAGATTAAAGGACAACAACTTGACTTACAGCTGATGGGTCCTGGGAAAAAAGCACACTGTTCCCCAATAAAGTTAAAAAAAAAAAGAGTCGCATAATCAGGTTGTGTTTCTAAAAAAAAAATGGAGCTAGCTGCAGTGTGGAGTGGATCGGAAGGGGCAAGACTGGAGGCTGGTAGACCAAATCAGAAGCCTCAGAAGCCGTGGCCTAAATGATGGCAGTGAGAATGGCCTGGAAAGAGGGGGTCAAGTGATATTACAAAAGCAGAATTGACAAGACTTGGTGTCCGATTGCACGTGCAGGGTGAGAAGAGAGTTGCGATGAGTCCCAGGTAGTGGGACATCTTGACAGATGGAATGCAAATGCCATGACAGCAGGAACTTGACTGTTCCCTGCTGTCTCCTTTGCACCTAGAATAGGACCTGGCACCCAGAAAGTGCTCACTGCACAGTTATTGAATGAATGGGGGTGCAGTTCTCTGAGACTCAGATCACAGGTTGGATGGCCAGGTGCGGAGGAGGAGGAGTACACAAGTGCAGTTTGGGGCACATGCAGTTTGAGGGAGCTGTCAGCCAGCCGAGAGGAGGGGGCCTGAGGGAAGCCGGCGATGGCCTGTGTGTAGAAGAGAGTCCCAGGAAAGAGTCTGAGCGTTCATCCTGAATACGGGGATGGTACCTGAAGCTAGGAGTCAAGGCACCCTGAGGGTGTGTAGAGTGAGGGAGAACCAGGTTGGGGACTGAATCTGGAAGAAATCGAAGCATTTAAGGACTGGAGCAGGGGTGGGGATCCCTCAAAGGAGAGTGAGAAGGAATGGGAGGAAGAAAACTAGGAGACCACGGTGGCAAGAAGTGAGCCAGGAAAGTGTTCCCACTGCTGCCAAGAGGTCAAGTGTCACTTAGACTTACAGTAGTGACCTAGACCAGGGTGGCTGCGGTGGGCGGGAAGCAGACAGAGCTCCAACTGCAGACATTTGAGGAAGGCTTGAGAAGCGAGGTAGGGGAGGCAGTGTCTCCAGTGGTCTCTCCCAACCTCTCTTCCAAGTAATTGATCAGACTTACTAAAGGGTGTGAAACTGAGGCACGGAGAGATGATGAAGTTGGTTAAAAGGGCAAAGGGCACTGTGCTGTAGGACAGCAGCTGCTCAGACCACACACTACCTTCTATGACTAGGCAGGATGCAGACTTTGAAAGGAATGGCTGAGCAGGGTGGGGCCTGGGCCCTGTCGGGCTGCCTACGTGCAGGGCTAGAGCCTCCAGGGCGTGCGAGAACATTTTCTCAAGGGGAACCACCTTCCCTTGAAACAGTTTGTTCTGCTGAGTTGACAGGAGAGAGGAATGAGGACTCCTCAGTCCTGGGCCAGGTGCCAAATACTCAGTGAAGACGGAAGGCGCTGGGAGGCTGGGTCTGGCTGCAGCCTCCCGGGGCCCTGGATGGGCCATCCCAGCATCTCCGCCTTCTCTGGGGGCTCTAGGGAGGCTGCCTGTGCTGGGTTGGTTGGTTTGTAACTAACATGAATGAGCACTTACTATGGGCCAAGCTCTGGAATCATCAGGTTTATATACTTGAGCTCATTTAATCTTCACAATGTTCTTTGAGGAATGTATGTTGATTGTTCTTACTTAAGGATGGAAAACTAAGGCCCAGAGAGGTTAAGTCCCTCGCCCAAGGTTTCACAGCTAGTTCTGGAGGTAGACGAGCAGAAATCCTTAACTCTTGAATCTGTGGGGTGGATGACTATTTAGCCCTAGAGTGTGGGTTCAAACCATTAGCGGAAGTGGGGACGGGAGATAGGTCAGGCTTCTGTCTCCAGTTCTGGGATCTTAGGTAAGTGACGTCGTGGCTCTGAGACTCTGTATTCTCACCTGTGAAATGGGGGTAACGTTGCCCACGTCACAGGGCTGTAATAAGGAGAAAAGACAATGTGTACAGCGCCTTGCTGCATGTCCAGCCCAGGGAAGGTGCTCCATAAATGTTGGTTCTCTTCCCCTTTTCTTTTCCTTTGGCGAAGGTTTGTCTTGAACCTGTAGGTTAGATGAGGACAAGAACATTGGACTCTGAGTCAGACCGACCAGGAATTGGCCGTTGCTTCTGATACCTCTTAGTTCTTTGATTTTGACCAGGTCACTTTTCCTTGTCAGGGCCCCAGTTTCTCCAACTATAAAACACAGGAAGATCACTTTGGTCCAGGATGGCACTCAAGCCCCCACAGCCCCCGTCCACACCTATGCAGATGTCACCAAGTGATTATGACGTTCATTTCCACTTAGCCTGGGTGACACCTGAGAACCCTTCTCAGGATGAATTTTTTCTAGTTTGGCTGTAATTCTACCACTAGGCAATTATGCATGGGTTAAATTACCACATTTCAAGAATACACTTGCTGAAGAGCAAAACCCTCTGATCAAGATAACATATTAATCTTGGCACATATTTGCATTACTAAAGACAGTGTCTTATGGGAGCTCCAGAGAGCACAGGTAAGCTTGTTGTTGTAGTGTTAAGTTTTGGGTTTTGTTCCATTTTAAATAGGGCAGAGGACAGATGAATAAGCCTGAGACACAGGGTTTATCTGTATACCTGGAAGAAGGCATGTAAAAGGGCAGCTACTGTGACAAATTACCATTAACCCTAATACACAGAAGAGAGTATTGTGCCAAAATATGAACTAGCTAAGTGACTTTCTATGGTCACAGCTAGTAAATGACAGAACTGAGAGTCAAACCCAAGCATGTCTGCCTCCAGAACTGACAACTATGTCATAAATGCAAATCCATTTATTTAGTCCAGAATTGATTATCAGATGTGTATTCTGCACCAGCACTGTTTTAAGTGCTGGAAACTCAGCAGTGAACAAAATCATCCAAATGGCTTGCCCTCAGGGAGCTTACACTCTAGGGTCCCATTTATCAGGCATCCATTGTGTACTTGGTACTTTGTCAGCGCTGGAGGCAGTGAGGCATGATGTCAGTGGCTCATCTGTTCAGGAACATACATTTGAATCTTAGCTCCATGGCTTTGTATTAGGTGAAGGATTTGCTTCTTGGTTTTGTCATCTGAAACATGAAGATTATAGTAGCTACTTCCAGGGGACTCTATGAAGTTTAAACAAAATAATATTCATAAAGCGTGCAGAACTGAAAATTTTGGATATTCAATAAATTATAATTAGTATTATTAACTCTGTAGCCTCTTACCAACTCTATGAAGTCGGTACTATTTTCTCCATCTTGCATAGAAGGAAATCAAGTCTCAGAGAGTTTCATCTCAGAGAGGTTAAGTCACTTTCCCAAGGTCACACAGCTAACCAATGATAAAACCGATATTCAAATCCAGGACTACTTGATTCCGTTTCGTAAATGTGACACTGTGTCCCCACGTTTTCCAAACTAGCAATTGGACTAGCTGTAGGACAAAAGAAAACCATGTTCCTCTTTGGCATCTTATGCAACAAGCCATATGGACCCTCAAGCTCTTACATAACGGGACCAATGCTAAGGAGAGGAAGTTTAACAACAACACAAAAAACAGATCGTATTCACAACAGACGACCATATGTTCTGCCGTTCCCTGACAGCAGCTGTCCCAACTCCTACTTGGGCGCCCACAGAAATCTTCTCAACGAAAACTGTTTTATGCCTAAGTGACTCAAACGATTGATGCCTTTATAAAAAGAAGGGGGAGGAAAAAATGAGTGTGCACTTCTTCCAAAGAAATAAGTCTTATTAACTTCTTGGGAAAGCCCAGAAACCTTCAGCTTCTACTCCTTGGTCTTCCCTTGGAAACTGCAGGCTTCCCCAGGGATGGTATAGCCTCTGTGAATGGGCAGTTCCCTCACTCAGAGTGAGGGCAGCTACAAGGATTTCTGGTTTCTGAGCCTCCAAGCTAACCAGCCCAGTGGGTTTTGGGTTATCCCCTCTACTTGGTCTTGAACTCCTTTCCTATCTTGTTGTGCTCATGCTCAGCTCAAAGTCTTGAGTTTGCTATAGGCTTTCTGGAAGTGCCCCTCTGAAACTAAACCCAGTTCTAGAAGAGTGGTTTGACCTTGAACCTTGGGGAAAGGCCTGGCACCATCTTTCTACTCTGTATCTTCTGCCTGGTTTCCTGCCTCCTTCACCCTCTCCCATCCATTTCCCTGTCCTACAGCCAAAGCAGTCCTGCTAATACATAAATCTGATCTCATCATTCCAGATTCCTCATAGCCCCCGTGGTCCTGCATGCTCTCCCTCCTCACTCCACTTTGCACTACCCTTCCGCTAGTCCTCAGAGCTCCAGCCATAGTGTCATTCTTTCCATTCCTCATGGCTTTGCACATGCTCTTCCCCCTGCTCAGCCCACTCATCCCCCTTCCACTCATTCCTCATCTTCCGAATCTCAGCCTCAGGCGGCTACTGGCCCCTTGGAATGTGGCTATTGAGACTGAGGAATTAAAATTTTATTAGTTTCA